CGAGATTTCGACCACTTAACACACGGGTTAAGACCCTATGGCGTTGCAATCAGACATGAAATTTTACTTAATTGGATGCTTAATTATTTTTTTAAAGAATTAAAATATCCTGTATAACGTACTATTTACTACGCTATTGTCGGCATATTTTTCGTGTTCATTTGGTGCGCAGTTGTTATTGTCATGCAATTCTATTGTGTTAAAAATTTTAAACTATTGTTAAAAGAAAATAAACGTTTGAATAATGAGGATTTATATAAGTATGCACTAAAAGGAAGAAACGAAATGATTTTCATTCAATTTACAAGAATGCACCACTTTTGAAATCACTAAAAAATTACGTTGGTTAATACCTGATGAAAATTCACTGTGACAAAAAAAAAATGTGATTTAATGAAATTTTAAATTAACGTTTTAAAAACAGTTAATTGATATTTCCTTAACTAAGTACTAGTTTTCTTCAGAAATATGCATACATTGTTTATGTTAATTTGGTGCGCAATTCTTTATTCTACTCGATTCTATTTTAATAACAAAACTTTAAATAAAATAAAATTCCAATTGCCTGATTGCATTGAAAGTGCCACCCCCCACCTTTTCAGTTTCTATGACCTTGCGAGAATATTTAAGGGAGATACCCCCCTCCCCCCCCCCCCCAATTTAATTTACCCATATTTCATCTGTTGTAAACGGGGGAAAGGGGTGGGATGGGGGCGAAACGCAACAGTCGGTACATAAAAAAATAATTCTGAAAAGGTTTTCAGTACCTCTTGATGCCCCTTATGGTGTGTTGCAGTATTTCGGGCAATGAAATTTTTTCTGGATGGGACAGTAAAAGGGTGTGTTAACTACGACTGCCGTGGACCTTTCTGTGGACGGCTATTCATGTTTCAGCCTGCCCTCTCATCCGCGACCCGGGGCCATAAAGATACGGCGTGCCCTTTTCAAATACTCGTTGAATTTATTAACCCGCGTGGCCCGTTGTAGGTTTATGTTCAGCTCTGGTGTAATATTGTCTAATGAAATATTCGACAAGAACCGTATCTGTTACTCTCAATATAGACGTTTTAAAAACGTTGTAGGTTTATGCACATATCTGGTTTAATATTATATGATGTGATATTCGGCAAGAACCGTATCTGTTACTCCCAATATATAAGTTTTTAAAATATTATTGTATTGTGTTTTTTTGTTGTTGCTATTTTGCACTAACTATAAGAAAATAGTAGGTGTGATATTCAATGAAGTATTTCTAGTAGGTTTGATATTCAATGAAGTATTTCTAGTAGGTTTGATATTCAATGATGTATTTATAGTAGGTTTGACATTCAATGATGTATTTCTAGTAGGTTTGATATTCAATGAAGTATTTGTAGTAGGTTTGATATTCAATGAAGTATTTGTAGTAGGTTTGATATTCAATGAAGTATTTGTAGTAGGTTTGATATTCAATGAAGTACTTCTAGTAGGTTTGATATTCAATGAAGTATTTGTAGTAGGTTTGATATTCAATGAAGTATTTGTAGTAGGTTTGATATTCAATGATGTATTTGTAGTAGGTTTGATATTCAATGAAGTATTTCTAGTAGGTTTGATATTCAATGAAGTATTTGTAGTAGGTTTGATATTCAATGAAGTATTTGTAGTAGGTTTGATATTCAATGAAGTATTTGTAGTAGGTTTGATATTCAATGAAGTATTTCTAGTAGGTTTGATATTCAATGAAGTATTTGTAGTAGGTTTGATATTCAATGATGTATTTATAGTAGGTTTGACATTCAATGATGTATTTCTAGTAGGTTTGATATTCAATGAAGTATTTGTAGTAGGTTTGATATTCAATGAAGTATTTGTAGTAGGTTTGATATTCAATGAAGTATTTGTAGTAGGTTTGATATTCAATGAAGTACTTCTAGTAGGTTTGATATTCAATGAAGTATTTGTAGTAGGTTTGATATTCAATGAAGTATTTGTAGTAGGTTTGATATTCAATGATGTATTTGTAGTAGGTTTGATATTCAATGAAGTATTTCTAGTAGGTTTGATATTCAATGAAGTATTTGTAGTAGGTTTGATATTCAATGAAGTATTTGTAGTAGGTTTGATATTCAATGAAGTATTTGTAGTAGGTTTGATATTCAATGAAGTATTTCTAGTAGGTTTGATATTCAATGAAGTATTTGTAGTAGGTTTGATATTCAATGACGTATTTCTAGTAGGTTTGATATTCAATGAAGTATTTCTAGTAGGTTTGATATTCAATGAAGTATTTCTAGTAGGTTTGATATTCAATGAAATATTTGTAGTAGGTTTGATATTCAATGAAGTATTTCTAGTAGGTTTGATATTCAATGAAGTATGTTTAGTATTATATCTATGAGGACAAGGTTAGTAATGTGTGTAGAGGACTTACTAGGGGGGACAACATGGAGACAGATAGTGGGGGGAGATAACTGTAATACAACCTTTGTTACCAAATTCCGAGATAGCCTGTTGGATTGACTTAGGGGATGACATTTATATTTGATGAAGTGGGTCATGTTTCCCCGTGAGGGTGAATAAAATGGAGGGGGGGAGGGGCGGGGTAGGGTAGACTAGATTAAGGACAGGAATTCTACACGTCTTAGTGATTGAGAAACGCTGTTTAAAGTGTTTGTTTATAAAAATTAACACGGGCTCGCCTTAATCTTACTGAAGCGTGTTATCCCACTACATACCTTTTGTCTTATCATAACTAGTTACAAAATAAACACATAAATCTACTCGGATCTTCCAATAGTTAGCTAGCACATTCGTCGCCTACATACCGTATTATATTACCGTAGCGTTTTGTCACCCCTAACCCTCACATACCTAGTATCTTACTTTACCTAGTTACCACACTCACATAGCTATAATATTACCTTAGCTAGTTAACACTCCTATCCCCTACATGCATATACCTGCTCCATCTTATTCATCGACTGGCAAATGACAAAAAAGTGACAATTATCATCGTCTTCTTTTAACGTTCGTGCCCAAGACACACAGGGCAGATGAAGTAGAGTTAAACTGTTTAAGAGACCTTGGCATATAAAAAGATAGTGTGGTCAGCACTATTGCCAGCCGCTTTGATTTCCCTAACGTGATTAAGGTACCCATCAGAGCAGGGTGGACTAAGAGATGTTCTAATGAATTGAACACGGTTTTAAACTAGGTCACGTTGTAACAATGAAGACACATCAGTGATTATATTATAGATGACCGTTAGTGAAAATTCATATATTGTCACGTACCTGTATAAATTCACGAAATTTGGGGATTTATTCATAGAACATTTACCTGTCTAAAGTTGACATAAATGTCTCTCTCACGAAATTTGGGGTTATGTTCATAGAAACATGTATCTGTATAAAGATGACATAAATGACTTGGGGGGGGGGGGCTCTCTATAAGACGTAGACGAAATAGGAAAAAAAAGGTACACATTTATGTCATAAGAAGTGGGGGTTTTTTTTTACATTCAAATGAATAAGAAAACAAGAAAAAAAAACAATATACCTTGAAAGTATACCCCCAAATTAATATTCCGTTTGATTGGCGCATAACATATTAATAATTATGCATGCAGTATCACACAAAAATATTTCATGCATATTATAATACTGAAACATTACAACATGGTTTCATTATTGTATAATCAACCCCTTTTTTCTCAAAGTGTATCATAAGGTAAACAATATTATTAACTAAAGCAATGTAAACATACGTTTAAAAAAAATCACAGAAGTTGTAACCAGATATTTCTTTTTACCAGAGGTTACGTACGCATAATTTAAACAGAAAAAAAATATTAAAGATCTAGTCAGCGAAAAAAAAAAACCCAACTAATTTACACAATTGAAATGCATTAAAAGCAATGATTTAAAATCAATATTAATTTGGAAGCAAGAGTAAAAACACTATTCATCAAATCATAAAACAAGAACATAAATAATAATTTAATTTGTAAATAAATCATCGAATTAAAGCAAGCTTAATTAATACATCATTTCCCACAAACAGAATATTTATCTGTAAGATATAAAGTAGAAAATTTCATTTAGGAAAAAAAATGAAATAGCCATTATCACAATCATATTCCCTCTATAAAAACATCAGTGTAGAATATATGCGGCATATAATAAATGGTATAACATATACACACATAAGTTTTAACCAATTTAAAGCTTATTTACATTTTATCAATTACAAACACCATGCAGAATATTTTAAAACACATTTGAACCGGTAGTTAACGTAAGCTTTGCAGTATTAAAGTATAAAACACGCGAACATTATTTTTAAATAATGTCAATAAGTTTTTAGTTTAAAAAAACACCAGCAACAAAAACACAGATTGAGTCGATTATTCAAAGCTGTTGAAATCATGTACGGTTCTACCTAGAAGGGGTTGTCTGAGATGTATTGGGGGAAGGTGTGGCTTCGCGCGCTTTACATTTACACATTTTCCCCTTTTAATTTTTTAAGTTTCCTGAATGCAATGTATGCAATTAATATGGCCTTGCAACAGGTATTGTATTTCAGTCAAGCACATATGCAAATTGCTTTTTTTCTCAGCTGTCAAAGGATGTATTCCCTAAAAGCTAAATAAAAAGTATACTTATCTACAGTGAGATATTAAGGGGTAGGCTTTAAGAATCTATAAGTAGCCTGTAAAATGCAGTCCATGATAAAAGACAAATATTTGCACTACTCAAAATCATAATAGTTGACAAAAAGCAAAAACAAAAACCACCGAAAAAAATTAAATTGTTTTAAAACTAAACAATCTGCAGCAACTCTTTGAATACAATATTATGGCTAGAATATGGCACTGATCTACAAGCAATTGCTTCTCTTCATCTCGCGAAGGATACCCAAAAAAATTGTCCTTTTAAAATTATCACTTGTTACACTCGCATATCTAAAAATTAGCACCAGTCAACACGATCTAAGTTTATTGTGTCGTAATTCACGTACACGGCACTTAGAGATTCCTTGTCCGGCATCCGTCTAGCTTCCGGCAGTTGTGCTAGTTGTGGGCAGCACAGGTAAGGTTTCAGGTACAAACTTACTATAAATATAACACGCTAATATAACATGGCCAGCGCCAAAAGTAAACTCGATAGAAAGCTGGAAGTGAAAGAAATAAATTGACGCCACGCACGAGCATATAATGGCTCCGGATGTCGCGAAACCTTTGAGAATGTTATCAGCGTACTTAACTACAACAGCTATCAAAAGTCCTCCTAAGGAATTCAAACATATAACAAACCAGACTACAGAATCGTAGCCATGAAAAAATCCATTCTGTAGCAATTTTTCGCCGTCATTAACAAACATGGTAATGACTCCCATAATAGACCCTAATACTCCCAGTTGAACATTACGTATCCAAACAGATTGCCGAGATCCTTTGAGAATTTTTTCGAAGTAAACGCTAGCGAACCCGGACATGAAAGACGAGACAACGACAGCGATGAGTCCTTTGATTTGACTTTGTTCTGTGGCTGTTGCTGTTTTCTTGCTGTTCTCCGGCTGCATCTGGACAATGGCCACGCCCACAAAGAGAATGACCAGTGAAGCCCACTGTAATTTGCTCAGCACTTTTTTTAACATTAGAACTGAGAAAATGGCGGTGGTCAGAATTTTCAGTTGATAAGACACCTGAAGTAGAAAAACTTGTATAGTGTATAATAAAGAACAAGAGATTAAAAAAAAAGACTTACATTTGGGGTGTTAAAAAGCCGGAAATGTTAACTTAAAGATGTACATTGACTTGTTAGTGCTATGTTACTGCTGTGTCTTTACTACTCTATTGCTTTTTTACTTTTTGATACGGAAAAACATAATTTTGAAATCTTGTCTGTATGTCTGTGTGTGTGTGTGTGTCTGTCTGTCTGTCTGTGTGTAAACACGATAACTTGAGTACCATTACAGCTAGGTTGATGAAATTTCATATATAAGTATTTTATCAAAATCCGTATCAACTTTTGGGCGATTTCCGATAACCGGAAGTGGTACTTTTTCTACTTTGAATTTTTCAAAAGCCTATAACTTGAGTATTATTTCAGATAGATAGGCTACATGAAATTTCACATGTAAGTAAAATATCTAATTCTCTACCTTTTATTAAATTTTGAGTAATTTCCGTTGACCGGAAGTACTATTTCCGATTTCTCAAAAAACGCATGTAAATTTATAAAGTACTAATAATATTGCGCACTATTATGCACATTTCATTAGACGTTCCCTTGGTGTGCAATTCTTTCTTCTACGAGATGTTATTCTATTTTAAAAACTTTAAGTAGGCCTATTTAAAATGGTGTTCCCATCCCTTGTTGTTTTATAATAGAATATTCGAGAAAGTTTAGGGGAGATCACTCCCGGTTTATTAAATGCTGTTATTACAATTTTTTAAACGGCAAATGTGAAAAAAAAGGCCTCAGTTCCTACTGTTGTTACCGTTATTGAATAAAAATAAATAAAATAAATTGAAGTTAGAACAATTAAGTACCTGAAACGTGGCTGCATCTAAATTAGAGATGGCAACATAGACCAAATTGTTTTGTAGAACAAAGATGATAGATGGTATTGACACTTTGAGACAATCTATTGGCTCTAAGATAATATCTTCATAAAGCAACTTCAGCCATGCTTGTATACCCCCAGTCTGATGAAACAAAACAAGAAATCAATTCAGCGTCTTCACATATATTACATATTAGTCATGTAGGATTAAATAAACGCTTGATATGATTACTCAAGCTGTTAATGCTATATTCAGAGATTACGAGAGTGGAAAGGACGAATAGAGAGGCCAAGAAAGATGGGAAGAAAGAGAGCCGTTGATATCTTTAAATGACGCAAATTCCGTTCGTTAAACCAAATATTTTACATAATTTACAATTAGTTATTCCAGTTTACATTTAAATTTAGCCGTGACTGAATTAGAACTGAACTCACCAGTGTTAAAAATCATAATATAAATAACTTTAAAAAAAAAAAGAATGTATTGTTGGTGTGTTCTAAGTAGAAATAAAACAAGAGGATTGAATTGCATTGTATAAAAAATGTACTAAATTGTAATTTTCGGAGAGTGACTTTGAAAATACATGAAGCCGAGCTTTTAAAATCAAACAAATTGTAGCAGATACAAAATACAAACTCCCCACTTTTTAAGGCTGTGTGCGGCACCCGATTTAAGTGTATTGGGTGTCAGATGTCAAATTTCAGTTTTGACCTAATTATTAAAGTATATCCATTTCTGAATACAAAACCACATAACATATTGTTGGAAAATGCTTATTTTTATTTTAAATTAATTTTTTTGTGAGGCATGTATATGCATGTTTTGTCTAATTTTTCAAAAACACTGCGAAAATTGCCAAAGTTTACTACTATAAAACATACAGATAACTAAAAATAGCTACCGCGTGTTTAGTATTGCCGGAAAGCTCCTTTTCTTGTCTATAACGACAAGGTAAATTTGTCAACCAATGAAAATATTCCATTTAATTTCGAATGTTCAAATGAAACACACTTTTTAAAGAGTTTGACCTACATATACCAAATTTACCTACTCGGCCTTACCCCGGAAGCAAGGTAAAATTCTATTGGCTGGCGGACTCGGCATTATCAGTGTTAAAATTTTCGATTCGCTAGCTAGTTTATCGCTTCCGGCGTGCCTAGTGATGCACTCATTCTTGTTGTGGATATTCAATCAGCTGTTTACAAACTTTTTAGACAAATCTCATCGTATCAAATGTTTTTGTCGGTTTAATAATGTTTAAACTGTTTAGAAGTATCGTGATTTTATACCAGCCACCATTCTTTGTTGATTCACTGCTACTAGATTTAGTCTACACAAGCCTACGAGAAGAGTAAGCAGTGTTTTACGTGTGTGTGTAGTAAGTTATTACACAGCAAGAAATACACTATCACCCTGTGATCGAACCCAAAACAGACTTATCAGATAGAACGATTTTGGTAATAACTTAAGTAATCCCCGGGTGAAGTTGGCCTAAACATGTTACAAGTGTCCTAATGCCTAACAAGGATAACAGAGTACACAACAAACTAGGCTCATGTGTTTTACAGTCTACATCTGATTATGACAACTACAGCCTTAATTTTGTTTACAAGGAATAGATGCACGGACATCAAGCAGTGAGTATTTCAATATCCATTAAACTATTTGAATTTAAAGATTAATTAGTAGACCTACATATTTTTTTTTTAACATCTTATTTAGGTTAGTAGACCTGTTTGTCATTAGACTCATTAGTGGTTCAGATACTAGCTAGATCTAGATCTAGTTCAAAAGATTTTTATCTCCTCAAACTAATGAATCAAATTCTATTCAGTGATTCTCCTAATCTTATATTCATACAATATATCATTATAGTTTTATGATTACTTTTCTTTTTACATTTGTATATTTTATTAATAAATTCATTTCCCCTATGATTTAGGCCTACAGTGTGTGTTGAAAACCCTGCAAGTTGTCCTGGTTCAAGGTAACTTTCCCTACACATAATTTTGTTTCACATAACAATATCTGGAGAAAATGATTGAAGAGCTAGTGACCAAGTGAACTCAGTGAAAGAATATGGCAACTTTTAAATACTGCAAAAAGGAAAATCATCTATCCGAGTGACGGTAAACCGCTTTTCAAAATCTTGTTCTGGACCCAAAACAGTTGTAAAATTTATTTATAGCTTATAACTTACAATGATTTTGCAACTTAGTTTAGGATTCAATAAATATTCAATGCAAAATGTGTTTGTGGTAAAGTGTGGTTTTTTTTGTCCACTGAAATAACTTGATGTTCTACTTTCCTTTATAGAATTGACCTTTGCCAAGAGAGAGCCAAGCAGTATGAAACCAGACAATAACTTAGAAAAAGAGCATTTATTTTGGTCAGTGCACAAGTATTAACAGGAAGAGATAAAAAGAGCTGAAGATATGAATAAATCAATTATTATAGTTATAATGGTCATGTCATGTCATGTTTGCCTGTCGTCCCTACTGGGACATAGGCCGCTGACAAGAGCTTTCCAGACGTCTCTGTCCAGGGCTAGTCTCTCCAACTGTCCCCAGGTGTATCCAATCTTCTTGGTGTCTTCTTCCAGGTCACGTCTCCAGGTCTTTCTTGGTCTGCCTCTCTTCCTCCTGCCTTGTGGATTCCAGGTGAGGGCCTGTCTTGTTATGCTGGATACAGGCTTCCTGAGTGTGTGGCCAATCCATTTCCATTTTCTCTGGAGGATCTCTACTTCCACTGGCAGTTGATTTGTCCGTTGCCATAGAACATCATTTCTGATGGTTTTAGGCCAGCGAATTCGCAGGATCTTTCTGAGACATGCGTTTATAAATGATTGTATTTTCTTCTTATTTATAGCAGTTATTCTCCATGTCTCAGCTCCATAGAGTAAAACAGGTTTTACGAGTGTGTTGAAGATCCGGATTTTTATTCTAAGGGTTAAATCTCCCGAACCCCAAACATTTTTTAGTTGGTTGAAGACTGCTCTTGCCTTACCCGTCCTTATTTTTATGTCTGCTTCTGTCCCACCCTGCTTATCAACAATACTTCCAAGGTAGGTGAATCTATCCACTTCTTCTAGGGCTTCTTCTGCCAGTGTTATAGGGTTGTTGTTTGATGCATTGACTTTGAGAACTTTACTTTTCCCTCTGTGGATGTTCAGACCCAGGCTTGTAGAAAAATTTGCAACCCTGTTGGTTTTATCCTGCATTTGCTGTTGTGTGTGAGAAAGAAGGGCCAGGTCGTCAGCAAAGTCCAGGTCATCCAGCTGGCTCCACAATGTCCACTGTATACCGTTTCGCGTTTTCTCTGTTGACATCTTCATAACCCAGTCTATGGCCAGTAGGAACAGGAATGGTGAAAGTAGGCAACCCTGCCTTACTCCGGTCCGTACTGGGAAGGCCTCTGTAGTCTGTTGGCCATGCACTACTCTACATTTGAGACCTTCATATGAAGACATAATAATGTTGACTATTTTCTGTGGCACCCCGTAGTGTCTCAACAATTTCCACATTGACTGCCTATCCAGGCTATCAAAGGCCTTCTCATAGTCTATGAAATTAATATAGAGAGATGAGTTCCACTCTTGGGTCTGTTCAATGATGATGCGCAGGGTAGCAATTTGGTCTATGCATGACCTTTCCTTCCTAAAGCCCGCCTGTTGATCTCGAAGCTGGGGATCTATGGCTTCCTTCATTCTGTTTAATAATATTCTGTTGAAGACTTTGCCTGGGATGGACAAAAGTGTTATCCCTCTATAGTTAGAGCATGCACTAAGATCGCCTTTCTTTGGAAGCTTTATGAGTAGTCCCTCCTTCCACTCCTCTGGTATTTGTTCATCTTCCCAGATTTTCTTGAAGAGTGTGTATAGTAGTGTGGTGCTAGTTTCTATATCTGCTGTCAGTGCTTCTGCCGGTATACCATCTATTCCTGGAGCCTTCCAATTTTTCAGCTGCTTTATAGCTCTATGTATCTCTTCTTTTGAAGGTGGGTTGCAGTCTATAGGGAGGTCACTTTCAGCTGGTGGTATGTCTTGCGTGCACTCTGGTGTTGGTCTATTCAGTAGTTCTTCAAAATGTTCTACCCATCTCTTCATCTGTCCTTCCGCATCAGGTATTGTCTTTCCATCTTTGGTTTTCACTGGCCTCTCTGGCTTACTGTACTTACCAGATATCTTCTTAATTGTATTGTACACGTCCCTAATATTACCATGGTACAGTGCTTCTTCCGCTTCTCTTGCCAGCAGTTCCAAATAGCTCCGTTTGTCTTTCCTTATGTGTTTCTTTACATTTTTGTTCGTTTCGGTGTATTCTTCCAGTGCTTTTAATTTCGTAGCCCGTGTGCGGCTGTTGTTTAATGTTGCCTTCTTTCTTTTTCTCTCTTCAATAATTTTCATGGTATCTGCTGATATCCATTCCTTCGCTTGTCTTTTGATAGGGCCTAGCACTTCTTCGCATGTTGATGTTAATATACTTTTAGTTTTTTCCCATGTTTCCTCTATCGTCTCTTCTTCTATTAGTTCTTGTAGTACCTGGAACCTATTGGACATATGAAGTTTAAATTCGTTGAGTTTAGATGGGTCCTTTAGCAGGCCTGTGTTGTACCTGTATTTCCTTTTGTTTTCCAACATGTTTTTCTTCAGCTTGAGTTTTACTTTAGCTACCAGTAGGTGATGGTCTGAAGCAACATCAGCTCCTCTCTTGACGCGTACATCCTGAAGTGATCTCCTGAACTTTTTTATGATACATATATGGTCTATCTGGTTTTCTGTAGATAGGTCGGGTGATACCCAAGTAGCTTTATGTATCCTTTTATGATGAAAGAGACTACCGCCAATGACTAAATTATTTGTGGCACACAAGTCAGCAAATCTTTCTCCGTTTTCGTTCATCTCACCTAAACCCTGCTGTCCCATACATTCTTCATATCCTCTGTTGTCGCTTCCAATCTTAGCATTGAAGTCGCCCATGAGTATAAGGATGTTTCTTCTTGGGCGGTTCTGGATAATGGTCATTAGCCTGTTGTAGAATTCGTCTTTGTCCTCCTCTTTGCTGTCATTTGTTGGGGCGTAGGCCTGTATTATGTCCATGTTTATTCGTCTTATTTTAGTTTTAAAGGTGGCTGTTATGATCCGCGGGCAGTGTGCCTCCCATCCGATGAGAGCCCTTTGTGCTTGGTTTGATAGCATGAGTGCAACTCCTTGAGTATGTGGTGCATTTTCATCCTCATGACCTGAGTACAGCAGTAGCTCTCCTGATATCAGCCTTTTTTGTCCTGAGCCAGTCCACCTTGATTCGCTGACACCCAGGATAGCTATTTTATAGCGTCTCATTTCTGCTGCTACTTGGGTTGCTTTTCCAGCTTCGTACATCGTGCGGACATTCCAAGCTCCAATATTGATGGTGGTCCTAGTGGAAATAATGGTGGTCGACCTGGTGGTTTCCAATACATATTGGCTTTCACCACCCGGCTTCATAAATTCTCCATCGGGAGATCCATTTTTCCCCTGGTCCGAGCTGTCTTTGTTTCTCTCTGTAGTTATAATGGTAGCAAGGATTTAAAAAAAAACCCATTGAAACATTTTGCCGGATGACTAATCTGGAAAAAGAAAATGCTAGATGGCAGTAAAAAGTAGCAGTTGCCAAAATGAAATGTGAATATGCTTAACAAAATAGAACTGTTAGGTGTGGTTCAGCCCATTTTTTGAAACAGTTTATTTTAAGAAAATAAAAATGTTTTTTACCTTTACGTATTTGACGCGTTATCTTTGTACGACAATTTTTTTACTTTATTATTTAAAATGTACTTGCAAGTTTAATACTTCATTGCATGTTTATATGTTAAATAAACCTGCATAAATTAAAACCAAATTTTGTTAGTATTTGTTAGGCTATGAATGAAATTTTTCATTTTTCTTTAGTTTTTTGCGTTTTTCTCAAAACGTTAAAATTCACTCTTCAAATCCCTACTCCTCTGTTAGTTCTGCATGTATTGTAATGAAACTTAGCCTGATTATTCTTCTAACATATATAAACAACTTCTATAAAGCATTTTTTAAAGATTTTTCTTACTTTAGATTTTATGGACTGAAATATGTTGAATTTGAGCAAATTTCAGCTTTTTTTAACAGTCTAGGATTTAAAAATTAAAAATAATTTTTTATAACCCTTTTCTTAAAAAGTACTTTACAGAAAGTTTTAGGCTAACATCACTCTACAAAATGCTTGCATTTCTGTGTGTTTACCTCTAGTGGTTGCTGAGCCTTAGCATTTTGAAAATGATAAACAAAAATCCAATATGGCGGACGTAACCATGGCAACCAAAAATATTTTTCTTTTTGGACACCATTTTTAAAAATCCCATTGAGCATACATTATATGGGTAAAGTTTCAGTGAATTTGCTTGGCTAATAACAAAAAAGTGTTTTCCCTGTAGCTCCTAGCCTTAAGCGAACAACTTTCTAACATACCATACACGTATTATAATTCATGTATTATAATGACAATGCGAATAAAAAAAAGGGAGGTACTTAACTTTAATGAGAATGACATCAAGGGAAGTAATTACCTACATGAGTATGACAAAAAGGGACGTAATTACCTCTATGAGTATGACATCAAGGGAAGTAATTACTCCCATGAGTATGACAACAAGGGACGTAATTACCTCAATGAGTATGACAACGAGTGATGTAGTGAACTTAAAGACCTCCGCCATGATGACAGCAGATGTTGACAGGAACATGTCCCCCTCACGTGTACGCACGTAGCGCATGACAAGGATGAGCAAAGCATTTTGTACGGTCAGCAGAACCAGACTGATGTACTTTAGGTAGGTGGATGTGTCTAGTGGAACTGGTTGCTCAAGGTCTGGAATAATTACAGATATGCACATTTTCAAAACATGTTGTTTTTTTTAATTGTGTGTCCATTTTGAGTCCACCGACCTCTGAAGTGCACCTGAATCACATTGGGGAAAGTAAAGGCGGATGGGTATAGTGCTGACCATACCATTCTTAAAAATGCCGAGGGAAAGAAACATGTGAACTCTACTTCATTTGTCTTTTTGATGTTTAGGTCTAAAAAGGAAGATGTTCGCTTCACTTTTATAACCACATCAGATGAATCACGAAGCTAAAAGAGTAATGTCTCTATATTTTAAAGACACATTTGCTTATATTCTACCTTATCAACAAACCATTTTACTAAACTGAACAAAAGCAAACACAAACAATAAATGTAGGCCCTACTCGAGAAATAAATTTTAAAAAGTATTCATTTTCCTTCAAGAAAAAAACAACAACAAAAAAAACATAAAATGGTTTAATTCGTTTTAAAACTCATTTGAAAGAAAATTACTTTTTTAAGTGTTGTGTGATCGTCATACCCCCCCCCCCCCCTCCCCACACACACGCCTGTCCCCCTGCTCCACAACTATCATTTGAATGGATATCTACCGATAGTTGACCAAGCATTTACCACATAATATAGATAAAAAAAGGGTCGCCTTGATCATGAATTGAAAATAAAATATAAAAGTGATCAAATCAAGTTATAATACATTAGAATTTCACAGAATAAATAATCGCCTGATCTCTTCATGTACAATGTGCATACACATTCAGCAAAAAAAAATTCTTCGCTTAAAATTATATTATTTTCAACTAGATTATCTGTCGTCGTAATTGTATTGTCAAGTTTATAAATCATAAGTTATAACACCCACATAATTTCTCCTGGAAATGGTTGCATAAATATTTTTTTTAAAGTGTTTACAAATTGTGGTAAATTTGATTATAGTAGAGTATTCGTAATTGCGTTGTCCAGTTTATAAATCATAAGTAATAACACCCACATAATTTTTTTCTCGAAATTGTTGCAACAGTATTTATTTAAAAATGGTTTAAATGTAATAATATCATTGAAGTAGAGTATGTCTAACGAATAGGCTAAATTTCTCAAGTTGCACTGTCTTTCAGACAAGTTATTGTCCGATTCGATCAGTTATCCTACTCGGGCAAACATCGTTTTGGGAAAATGATACACGGGCTTATATAATTTAAGCAAGTGTATGACACACCCATCATTTAGTCGAGTCGGTTCATTGGCTTTGGCCTAACTGTATTATAGTGTTCCCTATTCAAACCCACTTGAGCAACCATGCAATCATTGTAACTCCCCTTGCTTAATTCAAAGGTCATATTTTGTTTAATATCCAGTGTGTGCTTACAAGCACTTAATGTTAGCTTGCCATCCATGTAATATGAATGTACACATTAAAAAAAATTCATAAAAAACGTTTTAATAACAAGCTTTTATGTAATAATGCACTAAAAAGTAGAAAATAAATTATAGACTACTATTTAAATAACTATAAAAAAAGCGTGGGTCACTTTAGTATCTATTGGATACCTTTACTAATGTTAAGGAAGACACCCACGCTTTTCTTTATAGTTATTTAAATAGTAGTCTATAATTTATTTTCTACTTTTTAGTGCATTATTACATAAAAGCTTGTTATTAAAACGTTTTTTATGAATTTTTTTTCAGTACTTTACATGTTTTATTTACAATAGAGTTACATGACTAAAAACCATTGCGCGCCTACTGAACATCACGTTCAGTAGGCGCGCAATGGTTTTTGAACGCAGCCATTGAAGCTATTGAAGGTGATGACGCGTGTGGTGTGGTTGACTAGACATGCCTACTAATTCGGTCCAAATTTTTATTAATTCATAAAAAATTAATTAGGCATCCAATTAAGTCAAATTTAGTTTCAGATTGCATTGTCTTCATGTCTTGACCCACGTGCCAACTGTAAATCGTATCGGTCAAGTAGAACTGTCCGAATTTTCACTCCTGCGTTTCCGTCTAGACAGACTGACGAGGAAGTGAGTTAAATAAAAGCTTGTAAAAAAAATTCATAAAAAACGTTTTAATAACAAGCTTTTATGTAATGATGCACTAAAAAGTAGAAAATAAATTATAGACTACTATTTAAATAACTATAAAGAAAAGCGTGGGTCACTTTAGTATCTATTGGATACCTTTACTAATGTTAAGGAAGACACCCACGCTTTTCTTTATAGTTATTTAAATAGTAGTCTATAATTTATTTTCTACTTTTTAGTGCATCATTACATAAAAGCTTGTTATTAAAACGTTTTTTATGAATTTTTTTTTCAGTACTTTACATGTTTTATCTACAATAGAGTTACATGACTAAAAACCATTGCGCGCCTTCTGAATATCACGTTCAGTAGGCGCGCAATGGTTTTTGAACGCAGCCATTACGTGGTCGTGATGGCGCAGCTATTGATGACGCGTGTGGTGTGGTTGGCTAGACATGCCTACTAATTCGGTCCAAATTTTAATTAATTCATAAAAAATCAATTAGGCATCCAATTAAGTCAAATTTAGTTTCAGATTGCATTGTCTTCATGTCTTGACCCATGTGCCAACTGTGAATCGTGTCGGTCAAGTAGAACTGTCCGAATTTTCACTCCTGCGTTTCCGTCTAGACAGACAGACTGTCGACTGACGAGGAAGTGAGTTAAATAAAAGCTTGTAAAAAGGTGTCATTTTTGTTCAGGGTATGTAAATTGTGTCATATAGATAAAGCAAACAGATGGGGTACTACAAGCAGAGCAAACATTTGATGGAATATACACAGACAATCTAAATACCAAAGAACACCTAAATAAACCTAATTACTTTGAGTAACTTGGAGTACCAAATTAAAATTAAGGCCTAATTACATTTATAGCCAACGAACATTATAACACCCAAATATAACTAGACATATTGAGTAACTAAGATAACTAGAAACACAAATAAATCTTTAAAGATACAAAGTTTTACTGAATAACTTAACCTACACAATGAGGGTATTACAGTAACCCTTTTCCAACGGTCGTATTTGTACCTGGTCATTGATCACCTTAACATAATGTTTTGGTTTCACAGTTGTGGACTGGTCAACGGCAACAAACGCCGTCAAAATAAGCGAAATTGCTTCCTCTAATGATTGTTTTAATCTAGTTTCCTGTTATTTTGCTTTCATCATTTTGTAACTATATACACATTTTATTATCACATTTTATGTCTTCAAAATAAAACCGTAATAAACTACAAAATTAATAATGATTATGTTTAAAAAAAATAACTACTCAAATTAGATTAGATCGAGAAATTCTGAAAATTTGTAAAAATATTACCCACATTTAACTTAAGCATACTCAAATATAACTACACAATTTAATAACTTTATCTTAAATATATACGCGTGTATAATATATATATATATAAATATAAATTTATATTTCAGTTCACACAATTAACAGCATAACATTCCCAAATGTAAAAAGGCCTTTTAAACAACTGAACATTCATAACTAGACCTATAACGAGATCTTATCATCAACGTTTCTTACCTAAATCCTTTTCAGCTTCCTTACTGACGATCTGAGTATCAGTATCACCCACTAGGGGTGTCTTTTCCTCTGGTTTGTGAACGTCTACCTTGTGTATGTGATCTACCTGTAGCTTGTCTTCATCAGTCAT